ATATATATATATTTATATATAAAAAATTACATTGGCTGTATGTGAAACCTTGAGGTGCTGAAGAATAAAATAAAGGTGTTAAACAGAGGAAAAACTTTTTTGGTTTTTTTTGTTTGTTTTTTTCTTTTTTTTAAATAAGCAGCTCTGTACAATGAAGGCTCATTATGAAAAAAAAAGTCAACAGCATAGTTATAAAAGAAACCACAATTTTTAAAAAATCATCTTCTAAGCAATTGTGGAATTTGAAAAATGTAGCAGTCACATTTACAGACAGGTCAGAGCTATCGGATCAGCAACAACGCTATTTTTTCAGTCTCCCCAGAGGAACATGCAGAACAATGCGTGCACAGAACAGGTAGGGGGAAGGAGGGGAGGGCAGAGAAGAGGAGGAGGGAAAAAAAAAGAATAGAAAAAGCTGGTGCACAAAATGGAGGGAGAGCTTTTTTTTCTCTTTTTGAAATATCGGACGTAAACAGAAAACAACTGAGGCAACTTGTAAAATCTACAGCGTTTTGTGAATACCCCACTGGCAAAATAAACGACGTCTTTTCCCCATCTCCCATCTTTAAACCTGACAGTTTAAAACACTAAAGAAAGTTTTCAGACTTCGGAAGGAAATGTGACTTTTATTAATCCCTGCACCCCCTCCCCCAACAACCATACCCCCCTTGATAGGTATTTTCCTTCCTATTTGATAACGTTTGAGGCATTTTGAAATCAAAAAGACAATGCAATGAATGTTGTGACAGAGAGGGAGTATAATACAGTATATGCATTACTAAAAGGCAATTCTTCAAGGAGGACATTTCCTTTTAAAAAAAATAATAATAACAACAAGACAGCAAACTAGTTTATACAGTACTATACGCAAAAAAAGGGTAAAAGAATTAACAATTCATAAATAAAAGACAGGTCCCAGACCTGTTATTTGTGAACCATTTTCTTAAATAGGTGCATTATGTAAATCTTATGTACAACAAAATTACTTTGCATAACAACTGCAAGGACACGGGGGGGAGGTGAAAAATCATACTGGTTTTGGTTTTCTTCTCTTGAGATTTTTGTAAGTTTGATTTTCTGGAGCAAAACTGGTGAAAGAGGAGTTCTGACTGGATGGGTGCCAGCCAAGGAAACCCAGGTAAATCATGACAAATGAATTATTTTTTTTTCTCCACACGGCATAAAACACAAAGGCAAATAAAATCCACAAAGGTGGTTTTTTCCTCTTTATAATCCTCTTGCTGCTACAAAGTCCTTTTTTTTTTTTTTTTTTTTTTTCCTTCCATTTTCAATTTAAATTATGTTGATTCCAAAATCACAAAGCTGAAAGAAGCCAGCTGGGTTCAGGCTTGCCCTGTGCCCCCGACACACACAACGCCACTCCTCTACCCCACAACCACGACTCCTACCACCAAGTCCCAGGACTTACTGCTCTACAGGTATTAGCCAAAAGTTATTTTCTGGTTTGTTTTTCTCTGTTTTAAAAATCTTTTCCTTCTCACGAGAAGCAAAAGAGAAGAGTCGGAGGCAGGGAGAGTTCACCACGCTTCGGTGTAACGGACGTCCACTTCTTTCAGATTGGGTAGTTTAGCCTGTGCGGGAGGGTAGGAAAAAGTCACAATTAACGACGCGCGTTCAGGACTCAAGAAAAAGGTTCCCGTCAAATCTGTGCCGTCAGCCACCTGGGAGGATTGATCTACCGGCCACAAACCGCAGGAAGATGCGCTACGACCTCCACCCTGCAGAATACCAGTGCTGAGTTCAGCGGTGAGCTGAAGCATACAGGTGTTAATGAAGGAACAAGATGCTGAGCTTTTACAGACACACAAGACTAAGTCACACCTACGGCAAAAAGGAGTGGCTCTAGTAAAACCCATGCACTAGCGATCAGGTCCAGATCAGACCCCGATCTTTATTTTTTATACAAATGCATAGTAAAATTTGTTTGTCAAACTCCAGCCGTGAAGGCAGCAGACTCAAACTGCAGCCGACAGCCAGCCACACGATCCTTCTTCAGCCTCCACACTAAGTCATTGCTTGATTTTTCCTTCCATGTATTAAAAAAAAATTCAGAGAGTGTTAGCTACTTCTGGTGTCTTTGTGGTCTCCTCTCCATAACTCCACTGCATTTGGACATATTGTTCCTGAATTACCCTGCGTGAGGAAAATGGGAATCGGCTGTTTGCACTGTTCCTACTCATCGATCCCGTTTCCATGCTCTTGACCATAATTGCACACCTAATTCTCTCAAAACAAATAAACACGTTTAATTAGGCTAGGGCATAATTGAGGAGCTGGAAGTTTCTAGGAGTCATTATTACCTCACTCCTTGATTTATGTGCACGCATATTTTGATAAGAGCTAGTCATAATCCTACAGACACTGCCAGCAAATAATTTTTCAGTTAGGCAATAATGACTTCAGTAGTGGGTGTTTATTTATTGTCTGGTTCAGCCTGCCTGGTACATATGTGGGTGTCTGTGTGTGTGGAAGCGTGTTTAGCGGGGTGGGGGATGGAGCGGAGAGGAAATGTCATCACTGGCTTGTGCCCCAAATGCTCTCGCAGACCAAGGGGAGAAGAAGGAAAGATTTGTATCAAAAACACGTTCTTTGAAGTCTGAGCTGTTCTCAACAGACCTACAACCATGTGCCCCAGGGAAAGAAACTATTACCCTCCCTTTGAACACACACAGAGCTCTAAAAAAATGGCCACTAAGATAAATCTCAATGAAAGAGGTAAGAGGGGAAAAAGTGACGCATGCCTGTTTTCTCAGCTTTTTTAATTTTCTGCAACCATCGGGACTTTGCTCACAGCCAGTTTTGCTGTTTGCCCTGGCAAGTCACTTTCTTGTGTTGCCGCTAAGGACTGTTAATGCAATACCAGAGCAGAGGGAACCGGTTAGGAAAATACGAGTTTTGGTATGAAGTTGTGGCAAAGGGGCTCAGAAGCAGGGGTAGGGCTGGGGGAGCCTTTCAATAGACTTGATTTCAGAGCCCTGGGCCAAATACAGCATTGACCTTGATTGTCTGTAAATGCTTGGGGCCTGATATAAGCTCCATTGTGCGAACCCATCTGCAAGCCAGCTGTTAATTCCAAGGACGACTCTTTTGCATATACAATTGTGACACAAGTTTTGAAAACTTGATGTTGAAAAATCCATGCTAGCAGCATTACAACTGAGTCCCTGGGGGAGCTCTGGCTCCACAGCCAGAACCAAAGATAGACATTTGCAGTGAACTTTGAAAGCAGAGCAGTTTCGGGACTTGCCTCAAGTTTGAAACTCAACCCAAGCTTGTGACCTTTTTGAGTAAACCTGGCACAATCTAAGGTTTCAGCACACAAGACAATATAATGTTAAGTTTCATCTTAGGCGCTTGGGTTTCTCAGGTAAGACTCTGGGAGATGCGACTCTCACAACACCAGAGTGAAGACAAAGTCCAAGTGAAGTCATGAAAGTCAAGGCATCTCAGGCAGTCTTTGTCTGAAACCGCCTGGGGCCATTCCCCTCCCACAGCTACAGTCTAGTTCTTTACACCTTTTTGCCGAAGTGGTTGTAAATTCACAGTACAAATGGTAACACCAGAATCTTACATGCCAAACTTGGGAACTGGGCATTTGTGCAGGTGGTTCTGTTTAAAGCCCAGTTCCAGTCCAAGAGGCGTCAGGATAAACTTGCACCTTCCTCAATGCTTAATACTTCTCCCTTTGTATTCTGAGTCAAAGCTCCGTAATGCTGTTCACCCACGTTACTTTTGGTCCTATTAACAGTACAGGACATGGCTTTGGAGGTGCGCACTAGATTTTACCTGTCTCTGTATCCTCATCAGAAACAACCAATACATTCCTATTTATGAAACCTTTACTGTTGATAGCACTGGCGAAAAGATTCAGTTTCTGACTCCATCTCATACTCATCCATTCAGCATATTAAATGTTTCCTGGGTCCATCAAAGCCAGCAACCTCAGAATGCTGTTCTCGGTCATTATCTCCCCCAAAATAATCCACTTCACCCTCTTCAGATGACTTTCATGCTACCTACTCCATGGGGCCAGCTGTCTCTGTACCAGGCACTACCGCCATGCACTTGCTAAATCTGCAAGTCCTTGTGGGCCAGCTACTTCTCATCTTTAGTGGATACAATTCAGAAATACCTTGAGATCTTCGTAGGTATCTGCTGAAAGTTTGGTGCTGTTCATATTTAAACTACACAGGCTCTTCATGGCTAAAAGAGAAAACACACAGATATTTATCACCATGCTGCATTTTCTTAAAATATCAGGCTTACAGTAGCCAAAGCATAAACAAGACATGACTATGTGCAGCACTCTCAGGAAAAAGCTGAATAGTGTAAAATACAGAAGTACGAATGGATAAACAGCTGTTTGGGCCCTCATCCAGGAAAAAGTCCCTATTTAGGAAGGGCCATTAAGCATATGCTTAAGTCCGCTGACTTCAAAGGAGTTCAGGCAACTTCTCATAATCAGTTTCCTGCACATTATTCTGAATAGTGCCCGTTCTCAGTGCTCTGCGTGGTGCACGTAGGGGCCATGCTGATCTAGCAGTCCTCCCTCCCTCCTCCCTCCATTTCCATTTTAGGCTCCAGTACTTAGCAGAATAGTTTCCTAAGATGAGCCATAACTACTGGCCTGTCTGGCACGTCTGTGTAGGATCAAGCCTATTAAAGGAGCCCTTCAAACCCAATAGGCGAGGTTTATAACACACCGTTGGATGTAGGAAAGGGTCTCATTCTGGCACGTCGAGCAGCGCTCAGTGCACAGGGTAATCCTGAACGCTGCTTAGATGGCCCCACTGTGCCTTGCCCTATTTATATTAAGAACAGCTAGAGTTTGACGTCCCCAAAAGAGGAATAAAAAACGCCAGAGAGGGTATGAAACCTGCCCTGCATGGTTGCCAAACTCACTAATCAGTTGCTGTATGGCTTTGCAATCTTCCCCTTCTGCACCACAAGGTCAGACTCCCACCCAGAGGGGACACCCACGGGAAGGCACGTGAAAAAAGCTGGGGAGTCCCAGGGCAACAACAGGTCACCATGTGAGATCGAGACAAGTGCCACCAGTAAAGTCAGAAGCAAGAGCAAGCGTCGGGTCTGGGACAACAAAGCCCACACAAGGTCACTAAGCGTTGTCGGGCTCAGACCACTGTCCCGCTTCCCCTGCCTGCAGCCGAACTGCCACTTGAGTGGGCAGGGAGGAGAGAAGTTTAAACCCAAACACAACCACGGCCTGTCCTAAATCCCTGCGGAAGCAGCGCTGCGGCAGCCAAGAAATCAATCTCCCGTCTGAACCCACGTGAATTCCTCCAAACCCACATAATTTTCCTCTGTAGCTTATTTTGGTCACTTACAACTAAGTGCCAGCAGCCCAGCATCCGTGACAGGAGTCTCGCACAGGTTGAGCACTTGCAGCATGGTGAGGTGTTCAGACAGAAGCCGCAACCCTGCATCTCCGAACTGTGGGGTGCAAGCAAAGTCGTGTTCAAACAAGGCGTGAACATCATGGGCAAGTACCTCACTGCAAACAGGGCACATTAAAACGAGGTTTGCAGATGAGCCCTCAAAGCCACACTTACATTGTTTACTGCAATCTCAAATGACAGGAGAGAAAGCAAATAGTTTTATCCCTATTTTGCAGACGGGGAACAGAAAAATTAAGCGACTTGTGCGCACTTAACCACAGGCCATCATTTAATTAGAAAGGTGCCTTTGAAGTCTGGACTTTGTATGAGGCAGCTACCACCCAGGCCATACAAGACGGTTATGGCATTCTCAGCCAGTTACCAGCCACATCACCAAACCCCCCCCCCCCCCAAAAAAAAGGATAATGCAAGTGGTATTAATTAGCTATTCTGGTCTCACGAACAATGTACTATTGATTAGTAATTGTTCTATTGACTCACTTCGTTTCTGCTGTTTCTAAACTCTAGATTAATGGAAACCAGGATATCACAAAATAAAATGGAAGCTAAACTTTTTTTTAAATTAAATTAAATTTAAAAAAATGATATAAAAAGCAGGCTCTTTGTCTAGTGAAATCAAACTCATTTTGTGCAAGAAGCATCGAAGTTTTCAAATCCAAAAGGTAGATTGTTAGGACAAATCTGGAGGAGATATGAGACAGTCTTAAAACAAGCAAGCAATCAGATTCTACTTCATATTCCCCATACAAAAAGAGGAAATTTCTGGAATACAAAAGTAAAGAAAACTAAATAAGATATTTACGTGACATTTGAGTGGAAAAAAAAAATGCTTTTTGTGGTTGCACTAAGAATAATCGTATTTTCAGCAAGCACTACAAATAGGTGCTAACAGAAAACAGGGAAAACGTATTCAGTGGAGAACCTCAGAGACCAAAACCAGCAGGGAAACATAGAAAAAAAATCTAATTTTAAAAGCTCTTTCAATTAACAGCTGAATAATTTATTCAGTTAACTTGGCCTCTTTTTGCTTACAAAATAACCACATTCTCATTATAGTTTCCTTCTATTTATTCATTATTTGAGTTTCTTTTTGTTGCCGTTGTTTTTAAAGAAATTCTGGTTGATCAGCATTCAGGGAAATTCATTGCCTACACTGCATAGACTCTGTGTTTTGGTTGACCAGATGAGCTGCACAGTATCATTTTTTTCAGGCTAAATGGGTGAAAGCGTAAGCACTTCTGAGATGAACAGCAGCACATGTACTGCAAAATACACAGTATCAACAATGCCTAAATGGAACATTCAACCCAAGATAGCAGCAACCCTTTTATAATTTAAAATAAAATAAAATTTAAAAAATTAAAAGAAAAATCAGCCTCCAAGATGAGCTAGACCAGCTAGAACAGCCCTGTAAAAATAGCATGACAAACTCATTCTAAGCAAGCCTCTTCACACACTCTTCTTGTGCTGACGTAACGTGAAATTTCAGAATTAGTCAGCATTGGTTCCTGCTCTGAGTTTCAGTCTGCAAAGCACTTACCTGAGTTGACCATAGGTTCAGCTGCTTGAGTGAAGGCAGTTTAATGAGGTGTTCCGCACAAGCACTTGTCACATTGGTGAAGGCCAGGCTGAGGTTTTCCAAATTTCCAAAAGATCCAGAGCTTAGCAAGCGGGCCAGGTCTGCATCCTGAAAGCAAACAACAGATTGATAAGCAAGATTATTGACTCCTCAGCCTGCAACCATCTGCAGTGGTGTCACCAATACTGTTAACCAGCAAAAATTGCACAATTATACCACTTGTTTACAGTAATAGAGAAGGACACAGAGAAGTTTCTGTTTGTTTGGCAAGCAGCTGGGCTCTTGTGGCAGCATTGCTTCACACACCCTGGGAAAAATTTATCCAGACATTAGGACAAAAATTTTCTTTGCGTGTGTATCCTTATGAGACACGAAGGCTTCAGTGTCAGAACAAATGTCAAAGATGGGTCTTTTAACTTAATGAAGATTTCACTGCAAGTTCTAGATCCAAACGGTGTTCAGCACCATTACCTGGCCTCAGTGAAGATAGCCTGAGTTTACACCAGGCTTAACTGCAATAGTCATGGGTCTCTCTCAGATTTTCATGTCTAAGACCCAGAACTGGACATTGTGAAGTCTGCTTTTTTAATGCAAAATTCTGTCTCCAAATCTACCATTAGATCCTACTATAAATTCCAAATCTGCACACCAGTAGAAATCTGACAGTCTGATGCTTGTACTGGTGTTAGAAACTGCTGCACAGACCGAAGAGCAGAAATGTGCCCTTACTTGTGTAAACTCCAGTTGTGTTGACAGAGCAAGCGGAATGGCTCCCCTCTCGACTGACCAAAACCACTGTGCCACATGGCAAACATAAATCAAGTGTTTAAATATGGAAAGACAAAGCTTGTTTTTCTATTGACATGATTAACTTACTGTGGACTTGGATGGCAGTGTTAACCTTGTGGGACCACCTTTTCTTTGCTGTAAGAGAGAAGATATTTTGGTCAAACGAGTTGCCATTCTACATTTCAGACCAACTGAAGTATAGCAAGCTCTTCACTAGAGCAAACCCTGCTCCAATTTCAAAGCTCCCTGACAACCCTTCCACCTCTTCCCTGCTTTTTCCGCACTGACTGATTTTTTTCTGAGGGGGCCTGTTGCTACCCAGGGGACATCCACTAACCGCAGCTAGTGGTCTTTGTGCCATGGGTCAGCACTTTGTCTGATTCAGCCTGCCATTATTTGGTTACTTTCACTTTAAAGGAAACAGCCTTAAAATGCTAGACTAAGGCAGCAAAGGGGTTGAGACTGCACAGCTGATTAAATCATTTGTTTCATTTCAAAAAAAGCATATACTTTTCAGGCTGGGAGCAGGGGTTAAAGAAGACAAATATAAATGTGAAAGAGGGAAGAGGAAGACTGTGGGTATGTTTGAAGAAGTGCTGAGAGCAGATCTATCTTCAATCTGTAGATTCTGTTTTGAAAATCAGGAAAAAGTCTTTTTCTCATAGGCTTTAGCTCTGAGAACTAGACGTAAAGACCATCTCAGTGAAATGCTGTGAATGTCAAAGCATTAAGAAATGCTGGCCAGCACTAGAACCATTTGCTACTCATATGTCAAAAGGTGGCAGAATTTGACAAGCTGACTTGTAAGATCTTTAGACAGCAGGATTTCACCTTTATTCTTTCACACAGATTCTAAGCAGGTTATTGAATATCATTCATAAACATAGTGTGGGATTAGACACGTCAGTAAATATCACACAGTATATATATTCACAGCAAAATCCTCCAAATACTGCTCCCATCCTGTTGTTAACTGGGAATTTCACACCCTGCTTGTCTTTCTTTTGTACCTCCATTTCTGGAGAGTACAGACCACAATGTGCTATGGCAATACTGCATGCAGGACGACATACCAGCTCTTTTAACTCCCTCTGCCTGTCACACAGCTGTTCATACATTCTCTTTCCCACGTCTGTGCTTTCCAGGGTAGAGATGATCTGGAGCTGGGTGTCGTTATTATCGATGATGTTGTATTCCAGCATCAAACACAAAATCTAGCAGCAGAATGAAAGAACAGTGGTCACTGCACTGCCTACATTCAATTTCTTCCAAATATCCTAATTACACTGGGCATGCTAGTTGGGTAAGTTTTTAGAGCATGCATTACGCAGGCTAGATTAGAGGATCGTAGCAACATTCACTGACCTTCCAACACAAGAAACCAATTTTTTTTATTCGTAAAGAATGAACCCTAATCTCTGAAAGTCAGTCTATCTATCCTGTCTTCCATTAGTGCTCATCCCTTCTGACTGAGAGGCGGAATTACTTTGCATCAGTCCTGGAAGATGGCTTCATGCCACAGCCCTCTTCAGAACAGGTACAATCGATCCGATATTTCCTAGGTACACCGGCTAGATTGCAGATTGGCAGTCCCAAATGCTGGATTTTCTGTCCCTAAGCGCTGAGGTTTCTGTGCAAGCAGAATGCGTGTGAAGTGTATCCAGTTTATGGAGCAGGATGGGGAAAGGCCAGAGAGGCTCCAGGAGAAGACGGTGCTGGGAGCTCGCTGCTGTGGCCAGGACACCCTCCATCTCATTGGGAACACACCTGACTCACCCCTGGGCAAGGGGCTGCCAGGAGCAAGTCAGACACCAGGGGATGATTCCAGTGGGTCACATGGGCTTAGGACACAAGCTGCCCCCTCCATGCTGCCTTTCCTTTTCAGCTACATATCATGCCATTGCGATTAAAATGCAAAGTTTTTATTCCCTCCATAATTTTAATTATTTTTAATGAAAAAACATCAAGCAACATTATATTCAAAATCACGCAGCACACTCTTATTTACTGGATTAAATTAGCATGCACAGATCTAAGTCAATGAAAAACTGTAACTCCTTGCACCTATTTAACCATCCTGTATTTCCATTTAAAATATATGATGACATTTATCAAGAAACTGCTATAAAGAAACCCAGAACAAATATGTATAAACTATTAGTGTAACAAAATTACTAATCATAAGCACAAAAAATGTGTATTAATGCAAGTGAATAAGGTTTTGTAAACGCACCTCTTGTGCACTGCTCATTTTGCAGGTGGCAAGACAAGCATCGGGCATTTAGTAACGGAAAAGCCGTGTGGTTCTGAATTCTGACCCCTCACCGCAGCTTATACCATCATGGCCATTTATTTCCCATCTTAGTCTCTGCAACTGAATTATAGCAAACAACCTCCCTCTCTTGCACCCACCTTTCGTGTAATTCACACTCATATCTGCAGAACAACAATATTCTGTTCCACTGAATCAAGAGAAACACAACTGCCCACTGCTGGTGTTTGATACGACAAAAACCTGAACTCGGCTTCTCTAGTTCCACTAGATCTAATTCTGGGAAAGGCAGTGTGAAACCGAATCTGAATACTGCTCGTAAACCTATAGGACTACGTATGTTTAGGGCTTACCTCTACCATCGTCTGGTTACCCCTCAAAGCCAGTAGCATGCAAGGTCCTAATTTATTTTCAGCCAGTGAAAGAAGGAACTTCTTTGTTTTGTAGCAGGATCCCATTAAAATATGAACCTATTTGAGAAACAGAGCTAAAATTAGAGGTGGAAGCCTAAGAAACACATATACCTCAGGAAGGGACATTGTTACACAGTCAAACAAATGTCAGTATTTGCAAGAAACCTAAAGAAAAGGAGGCTCTCAATACGATTATGGTTGCAGTCTCTCAACAGCTTTATTGCTGACTGGAAGTGACTTTTTGAAATAGGTGATGTCTAGTGAGATCTGAGGAAGTGGGTAGTTTTTCTCCACAAAGAAACTCTGCCGAGAGCCCAGAGGCCTGATACAGGCTCCCCAGGAAACACTAGAGCAGCTGTGCAATTGCCCCCATCCCTAGTAATATGATGAACCCAGCCCCAGGGGAACCACAGGAGATTTTGCTTTTGCATCTGTTTGTGGTTTAGTTTCTCTGGAAACGCCAGCTGGTGAGCAAGGGTTGTGTGGGTTGGATGTCTAGGTAAAAGGCAGTGGTGCTGGCAATCTGCTGGCTGAACACGAGCCTTGGTTAAGGGGCGGTGATGGACCAAATCACCTGTTCAGAATGAACAGACATGAGCTGACTGGGAAAGGAAGGAGTGCCTTAAGAAAATCCGGCAGTCCTGAGTCAGAGATGATTTCATGTGCTTTCATGCTCTTGGGTCATTATCTTGCTTTCCCTTTTGATCAGTTTTCCCTGAAAGGAAAAAAATGCTGAGTACACCGCCTGAGTAAGACTCCTTTGAGTCCACCAGCTGACAAAAGTGTCCTGCAGACTCTCCTAGCTCTAGAAAGCATTGGATGATATCACATAGTAACACCTATGGCAGAAATGCAAAGCCATTTGTACAAATCAAATATAAGAGTCTCTTCTCATAAAAGAGGTTGGCAATAATCTTTCCCATTTAAAAGCCCTAGAGATTAGCTGCAAAGAATTTTGAGTTCCTAGCTGAAAGTCTTATTTTATGGCCCAGCTAGCTGATTCACTAGCTCACTGGCAGAGCACTATGTGAGAATTTGTAGTTTCCAATGACCTGGGCAGTAAGAGCTCCATTACGTAGACTCAACATCAGCACTACTCTACAATAAGCTTGTAAATACGTTCTGTGGTCCCCTTGGTTCATGGTATTGCCTGGACTATGTTCAATACTGCTGAAGGTATCGCAACCACGCCATGATGGGGTCAGTTCTACGCAGATCATGTGCTATCACACAATTCTTCCTCCTCATGGCTTCATTACCAGCAAGCCCTTTGCAAAAACACAGAATCTTTTTTTCTGAAGTATCCATCAGCTCAGGTAGCCTTTAAAAACAGTAAGCTTTGAGCCAAAAAGGATTTCATTTCATGCAGTTATCATTAAGCTTTTTTGGATGTTTTCTTGAGCGACGGAAGATACTGACGCTAACGCTAATGTAAGGTCCATCTCAGAACAGGATGTTTTTCAAACTTTATGGTTAGTCGTTAGCAGCTCTTTAAGTATTTATCAACATCCTTGCAAAGGGCAGAGAGTACTGCATATAAATGTGTGTTAGCATTGTGCTTTCTCATGCACATCATCTCCTGATGCTCATAAATATCTTGGACCACAAAAGCTCTCAGAACGAATTATATCATTCTGAAGAAATTTTCTTTTCAAACATAAAAGACATAGAATCAGTGAGGAGGGATGAAACCTTTTGTGAACAGTCTTCGTCCATTATCTGTTTCAAAGGCATCTGATCTATCTGAATTTAAGAGTATAGACAAACATGCATGTTCTTCATGTGCCAAAACGTTCAGCATGTGGGAGATCCACAAAGCGCAGATCCCCCTGAAAGTCACTTCACTATATACCCAACAGCCAACTTCAACAAACGTTTTTCCCCTTACCAGGGAAAGGAAGTAATATCATTTCCATCTTACTTGCTATATGGAGAACTAATACACAGTGAGAACTAGGTGACTTGACCCAGGTTACACAGGAAGACAGTGCCAGTATCAGTGATTAAAACCTGTTATTTTCTGTCTAGTCCTTCTAAGAGTTATAAAAGAAACAACTGCAGGAAATGAATGCTGGTTCCTCATTATACCTCCCCACAACAATGTAATTGGGCAGAGAAATGGCTAACACATTTTTATATCTATCTATCCATCCTTTGATTCATTCAAAGTTACTGTTGTTTTTAAATTCCAGGGTGGCCTATAAATAAAAACTATAGGTGTGGATGTGCAGAACAGTCTGTCTCGTCTGTCTCCCAGTATTCCATATTCTCTGAGAGAGTTTTTTACACAAACACACATATTTATAAATACAAAAATACATTCATATGTACACACAGTCATATATACATGCATGGTTTTGTGCATGACACTACCACTGAAAAAATACACCGAAGTTCAAAAAGAGAAAGCTAACATGTTAACTAAACTGTGACTGCAAGCAAGTTGAATGGATTTGGTGATATAAAGATTTAGATTTCCTGGTGAACATTTGTACTTTACACAATCATGATTTTGATAATTTTTTGACTAAAGCGAGTAGATCTTGTTACTGCCAACTACACATTAGCTACTTACTGCAAAGAAGTTACTAAACTCACGTTATTGCAGACACGTACCATACTGGCAAACAGCTCTCCATCATCATCACATGCCACTCCTCCAGGGCTGTAGAGCTGGAACCAGCCATCTTTGCCAGCCCGCACACTCAGCAAACATGAGTGGACCTGCCAAAAAGTGAAGACATTGGGAAGATTACGGCCCTGCCAATAACCATTAGCGTCTTCCACACTGGGCCAAAAGAAGTAACTGCAAAACCAGGGACGGCTTGAAATTTCATGGTTAATATTCCAATCTACAGAGCTGCAGGCAAGTCACTCACAGAATCCATTTTTTCAGTATAAACAAGGAGGGAAACTGTATCATCGCTAATTGCATGGCCTTTTTCATTCCCTTTACACAAATCAAACACAAAATGGCTCTAATCTAGAACAGCTCCTTTCATTTGGAAAAAAACCAACCCCCAAAAGGCAAAAAAAAAAACCTCCTCAAATTTCTGAGCTCCTGCCATTTTCCCCTCATCCTCCCAGCATGTGTGTCTATACTTCTGATGTGATCTGCATATCAAATGCAGTGGCTGATGGCTTGTTCATTCCAATCATTAAAAATTCTTATTACTCCTGCTATAATAAAATTTGACCAGAATCAGGGTAAAGGAAGTCCACAAGGAAAATTCAACAGGGATACGTAAGACAGAATTTGCACAGAAGAACTGGCACCAGTGACCAACCATTAATCTAAATTTGGCCCACTGTAGAGATTACTATATCTAGTCCCATAGTTTAACAGAGGAGTCATAATTAAGCTTTTTCCACCCCAACCCACCCCCCGCCTTGAAGAGACAGATGTTCTATTTCAATTTTTGAGGGGTATGAGGAGCAGGTAAAGTCCATGGTTTTCCCTTTGGGCATGTAACACCAGTGACAGATGATATCCTGGTGCCATTCTAAGACAAGAACGTCTCTCTTATCTGACAAGGATGACGACTGCTCACAAAGGCTAAAACCATGAAAACCAGGAGTTCTGGGCAATGATGATGATGACACAGCCTCCTCACCCACATTTTGGGAGAGCTTTCTTCCCTTTATGCCAACACCAAAAAGTAATACAGATGAGAGGTTCTCTCTGACTCAGCTGATGATGTTGAGCAAGCTCCATGTGCAGCTATGAAGCAGTCAGCCACCACGAGCCTACAGCTACACACTCATTCTGGTAACACACCTCTCACTCCTTTTCTCCTGCTAATTCATGAGAATTATGGTCATTTGCACACAATGTAACTGAAACACAATAAAACCTGTTATTTTGTAAGCTGTATGGATCCATGGATTTTGCTTTCCTTTTTTGTATGGAAGATGGAAAGCTCTGAAGAGATTCAACAGAGTGGGAAAATCTTGCTGGTTGCAGTTTACTGCAGAGCAAGGACATCAACTGATGCCAGACAACGAGATCACAATACACGTTTATACATAAGGCAAGAAACCATTCATACTAAGACCGTGTGCCCTGGGTGGCTATTACTCCCTAAGAGACTTGGGGAGTACTACACCATGGGAGTACCACACTTGGGGAGTACCACTTGGGGAGAACCATACCATGTTTTGAAACAAACTACTTAAGGAGAGATCTTCTGAACAAGTATGCTTGCAATCCCTCCAATTAATAGTCTGTGTAAACTGGAAATAAACTCACTTCTTGCCTTGGATCTTCTGCAAATCTCTGAATCACGTATTTCAGCTCCCTGAAAAAAAAAATGTTAAAAGGACAGGAATAAGCAGTTGCTGGCTGCACTTTTCACACAAGTGTCACATTTCTCTTGGATTACACTTTAAACAATATCTATTCGTGCACTTTAGAGAGAAACAAGTTGAACCGCTTCCACAGGAAGGAAATATGAGGTCTAAAAGTGATTACCAAGGACAGTGTCTATTCACAATAGCCTAGAAAAGCTTTCAGAGATGTGCAGTGACAAACTCATTTGTAAATTCTATTGGCATCCAGTGCCTTTAGTCCTTGGGCTTCTGTCGTCACAGTAAGTTACAAAGAAAACTACAGCTTTTTACTTCTAACAGAACATGCTTGCAGCCCCTCACAGATAAAAAACATTAGAGACACAATATTGAATAATGCATCATTGCTATTATTGACTAGTAGAAGTATTTTAAGTAATTTCGTCCCTTCAATAAAACAAACAAATGAACCCCACAAACTTACTTTGTGAATTTCTCATGTGCAAGAGCCCTGAAATTTAAAACAGAAGAGTATGAGGATTTGGGAGAAGGGAAGGAGACAAAAAAAACCAAACCAAAAAACCAAACAACCACTTTTCAGTTCTTTCCAGATAATAAAAGGATTCGCTAATCAGCTGCAGCACACAAGACCAAAAGAATAATCTTTCCTAAAAAGATCAGGTAAAGTCCCCTTCATTAATCTAGGGGGAGAAAATAAAGGGGAGGGGGCAGGAAAAAAATCGTTTGGAACAAATCTTGTAGCTTTTCCCTGAAATAAAGGGGAGGGGGCAGGAAAAAAATCATTTGGAACAAATCTTGTAGCTTTTCCCAAGTCCTGTCTTAGACAAGGCTCTGACTAACATCAGCGGGAGCTTTGGGTCAGAAGAAAGTAAGGAAAAGACTTACGATACAGCTATATAATTACAAACAGAATTCTGGCTACCTCCAAGAGCCAGATGAATTCTTTACTTGCAATGCAATTAAGGTATGGTCACAACTAATTAACATCATACATCAGCAAAGTAATTAATGGTCATTCTGTGAAGTGCCTTGCATCATGGTATGGTTTACACCTCCCCTAGGACTCATGTTTGACTTAGGTAAATGATGTCTCTGTTGCCTATCTCCAAGCTCTCGCTGTAGCCCAGGTAACCTGGCATGGAGGATTAGACTTCTCAGATTCAAGACATTGGGTCATTAGGGGATGTGATAAGCTAGTAAATTGTACAATTATAGGTTGTAATGTTTGTCCGTGGAGGCCTGCATTTTATAAACACTGCTGTTCATTAATAGGTTTCTGAGGGAGCTTGGCTGATCTGTGGGGTAGCTTCTTCATTTAATGGAAAATACAAACGATACAAGTCTCTGACGCCAGTAAAGCATCCTCCTCCACCAAATCTCTCACTTTGCTTTCTTCCTCACCAGCTTTCCTTCCTTTCCCATCTCCCTGTCTCTAGTTAACCATTTTTCTCTTCAAGATCATCTTAGAGAAATAGGGAAGGAAGATGAAGATGGGTAAGTCTTCACGTCCCTCTGCATCAGCCAAAATCAACTCCAGATTCTAAATCAATACTAGAGGCACAAAGCTCCTATTACCATCAGTTTTTATTTGACATTATATTTCACCATAAAACAGCCCAGTAAATACTAAGACAGTGCAAACTTACTCCTTGGGAAATGGGATAGGTTGAAGCAAGCTGGCCAGGGCTGGTCTCCAGTCATCATAGTCTGACCTGGAAAATGAACATTTTATTAATAGGTTACTCAGTATTAAATATGGTTTGTCAACAGTTAGTGCAAGGAGTTAAAACCTTTATACTGCAGGCAGCAACAACCCTTCTGTTTTACTGAGACACTCTAAAGATCTACAGTGACATTTCCCTTTCCATTTGCAGCACATTCTCCACTGAGGCACAATAAATCTGGTATTTACAATGACCTCCAGAGAGGCCTTCTTTATGTCAACTTAAAGACATTTGCTGTTTATGAAACCTGTTGACATTTAATCACTAAGTAATACTTTCATCTAAGTTGGTAGAGCAATTACCAGGCCGTTGCTATTTACAGCTCTGCTCCACATTTAATTGGATTCTTTTTTTTGTTTTTGCTGTAAGACATAAGCCCATTTGAAAAACAAAGACACCCCTCCAACCCATTTTTGACCTTCGCACAAAGGAATGGGTCAATTTAAACAGTACAAAGTCTTTAGCTTAAGAGGCGAGAGACTAGAGAAGGAAGCACTGTCAAAATTATCAAGAATGAAAGAGGACAAATGAGGATAACCACAGCAGAGAGCTCAGGCCAGCGGACCCAGTAAGGAGTGTCTCCTCTCTGTTGTGTTAGCACCACAGCTTCCAGCTGATGCATTTTGGTTTCATCTCTGCTGTCAATATACAGAACCATCCCGCTACGAGGAGCCATCCATAAGGCAATGCTCATGTGAACTAGAATAAAGAGGACATTTTGCTTTACAGCATGCACTGGTCAGTGCAAACTAATCTGGCAACATATGATCTCAGTCTACCTGCAAAATGCCAGCTGCTTGAGCACATGTGGTGGAGCAGGTATGGCTTCTCATGTGGGAACGGCACTTTGCACACTGCCACCCCTCTCCTCCAAATGATCTCAAACGTTTAGTGGTTAGTTAGCATTAATGAACTGCCGTCCCAATGCACTGCACAAAGGGTACAATCACTGTAAGATGGATGAAGTGAAGAATACAGAAGACAGGAGAATTAGGCAAGTCAGCACCAAAATGGGGCACAGAACCCACCAGCCAAAGCCCAGATCCTGGCACGGCCTCCTAGGCCACTCTCACTCCAATTAATACCAATGAGTACACACAGAAGTAAATGTAGTAAATCTCATATGGGGTGAAACACCTTGGGATGGCTGTAGAAGACAATGTAGAAGAGCCTACCATCTCCTCTTACTGCTGTTACCCTTCAGATTTCAGTTTTAAAAGCCAGACCATTGGCTGCAGCTTACTGCAACCTTGGCACAAAGTCTGGTGTATCTTTAGGAAGGAACAAAGTGTCGTGTTCTCAAATGGACAGTATCTACTGATACCATTAGAAACAGACAACATATGTACAGGAATCACTCCAAAATAATGCATTGTTTTGCAAAGAGAAGGTTCTAGCCCAGAGAAATTGAAGATGGATGCATTTCCAAAAGTCTCATCCATTTTTTGAACCACATAAAACAGAGATTTCCATAAACTAATAATACACTTAATGTTGGACAATCCACAAAGGCATGTTCATGGACACAAAGAAAACTTATGTGCACGAGCAAGGTATTCTTAAGAAGCAACACGCAGAGCAATTTTAATCGAAGGGGTAATCATGATGTAAAGATCAACCAGGGAGGCAGTTATCACTTGCCCAAGAGTAGTACGAGTTCAGGTTACAAAAATATAAAGTACCTCATGCAAGTAACTAATCCACAAGAACAACTGTGATCTGATAGTAGCTTAACATACTGAAAAATAGATGAATGCCGTACAAAAGCACTGTGGGGTGGGTTAGTAGCTCTTCTTCCATACTGCTGCACAGAAGTCCAAGTTCTCTCCCACACGAGGTGCAACCTAGTACAAACCTAAATGCCTATCAGTAGGCAACTTCAGCAAGTAGTCCTGCCCTTTTCATGGGTGCATTACCAGATCATCCCAGCACGTACTTTCCAGGCATTTCCTGAAATCCCTCTACCAAGAGGCCAAGAACCACAACACTGTGTTGAGTTGAGGGAGATGCCTCTTCCTCCCAACCCATCTCCTCCCCCCTCCCCTCCGCCCAGTTGTTGAACAGCCATAAAAGCACTGAGATACAAGGCTGGGGCTTAAAGGCAGGCAGTCTGGCAATTGAGGTGGCACGGGCCAGGCAAAAACCTCAGTGCTGGTTTTCTTCAAAATACCGAACAAATAACATTTGAGAGTTTCGGTAATGTACCCTAATAAATACAACTTGTTTATTTTCCTCTTGTTATCTTTAGTATTTGAGGCACGAAGCATAGTGTATGTGAAGCTACAGTAATCCAAAAAAAGAAACCTCACGCCCATACCAGTTGTGCTAGAAGCCATTGAGCCTAATTTTCTCCTCCATCAAAAATTCTGTTCTCTGGTCTAAATTAGGAGCAACTCTGAGACAAGGAGTGTTAAACTAACCTAAAGCAAGCGCGAGTCCATTGCGGATTGGATCACTTTGTGATCATGCATTCACAAGGTTTTTTCTAGAGACAAAAAAAAAACCTTACCTGCTTAGACATTAAACAAACAAGGAAGATGACCAACTTTGTTTAGCGCCTCAGAACAGCAAGACGTGAAGCAGGACTTCATTACAAGAGGTGTTTTTTTCCACTTTGTCTGCGTAAAGTGAATATCATAAAACACCCGAGGATGGGGCTTGTCATATAAACTGAAATAAGTCAAGGAAACCTCTGACAGCACCTCTAAGATGAGCTCTCTGGGTTCTTTTAACAAAGTCTTGATTAATTAATGGTCTCCACAAGACTATTTGTTGTTTCTGACCTATGGGTCAGCAACACAGAACTCTGACCTGTGTTCAGACTCATCTGAAAGTCTCTTGTTCACCTACCAGGCCTCTGTAGAAGACAGACGATGCAACATATCCATAGCTGCAGCCATGAGAAGTTCTATCAGAGGTCTCTGATCCACACAGCCTGGGTTTCACTACCTTTGTTAGGTGGAAGAACATAGTCCAGACCACAAGAAGTCGTCTGACTTTGAGCTGGCAGCATACTTACACTCAAACATCCATCTCTGTACTCAGGATGTTGCATGCTCCTCCTGTTACCACTTACACCCCCAGAAGCAGTCAGTCCTGCAGTGTTGTCCTCTTGGCACCGCTGCTGTGCCCAAGCCTCAACTCATCCTCTACATCACAGACCGCCTTCTCGCAAGTGACCTCTGGGTGCAGCCTGAACGCTGGCCCTGGAGACCCCATGCATGGACCTCAGTGCTGGCACTTGGGTCCTCAAAGAACTGACAAGTCTAATGAGCAGCCTTTTTTTTTTTTTTTTTTTTTTAAATATACATACCCTTTGGAAAGTCCTACTAAACCAGTAGCTGATTTTACTCTAAAACCAACACATTTTTATTGGTAGATGCAAACAACTTCAAGAGCAGGTTTTTGAGCAGGAGAGATCCAAAAGTCAGAAGGCTGAATCAGGAAATTCAAAGGTGTTAAAGTTGTTCCACGTCACATGAGATACAGGACCTACAAATCTCTCCTAACAGAAGCTTAAAAGCTGAGACCTACTTGGAGGCTTAGTTCCTGTAACATCTCAGGTTAAGTCTTACACCACTAAAATTCCTCCTTGAGCAATTTGGAAAGTTGTGATTAGTAATAATGCGAACCAATCAATTCTTCATGGCTGATCTTTAAAGGAAATTGCAAGAGGAAGAAAAAAGCTGCTTTATAATAGACTAAGACCAAGTGAAAAACACTGCAGACAGAATTGGACAGTATCACACCCTGACTTTTCTTGAAGGTGGGAGTTACATATGGCATCCATTTGCAGAGCAGGTCTGTGAGAGGGCAGTGAAAATAAACCATAGTCTGTTTTCCTAGGAGGAGAAGAAAAAAAGGAAGTCATCTCCTATGAAATATATAGAGTTTAGTCACATGAGTGGGACCTGAACATAAAATCTACACAGCCTGTAATCCCTTCAATCTGAGCTAGGAAACATGAAACAAACATAGCACAAGAATAAAACTAAACTACTTATTAAAAGCCTACGGTGTTTCTCCTCCTCCCACCTATTCCCTTTTCAAAAACATTTTCCCTCTGTCTCTGCTCATCTCATCTGCACTCTTCTTTCATTTCAGACAGCTGCTTTTTTCTTTTTTTTTTTTGGTCCATTCAAAGCTCTAACACAAGACAGAAGTGTTTGAAGCAGGGAAAGAAAGGGAGATAGATTAGCTCTGGCTGCAGTTACCAACCACTGCAATGAGCCAGGCAAAGGGGCCATGCCAGGAGAAGGAGGGAGCACAGAGCTACAGGGAGAACTCCGGAGAGCGCCTCTGACAAACTCCCTTTGGAGCCCTTCAAAGGGTGCTGGGCTGAGTGCTCACACTCATCACACAGCTTAAATCCCAGGATTGGCCTTACAAAAGCAGAGAAGGAGAAAGACTCCCTGATGTACTCACTGGCTCTGATTTTTGCAGGATTTGTGATTTTAGGTGAGTAACACAGCAGTCACCCTGCAGCCCGATCTATGGGCTCCTGGGAAGCGTGTGCTAGGCTGGAGGTCGGGGTGCCAAGCGGGCGAAGGCTGTCAGAGCAGTCATCTGCTACGGCACACACCTTTACTTACCCAGAAACCTTTTTTAGGGGATTGGCCAGAACACTGGCCAACCATAATAATTAAATAATCCCTGACTGCAATGGTTTTGCCTTAGGGCCATCGTCGTTATTGGCCTGCCAACATAATACATTTTCCTTCCCCGGGATCACCTTTCACCAAAGTGAAAACCTGCCCATATGTCATGTGCGGCACAAACAAACCAAAACATACTAGCAGCCCAGGGCAACCCTGATAAACATGACATAAGAGAATCCACTTGGGATATTCAGAGCATGCCACTGACCTATTGGGGAATGCAGAGAAGCCAGGGGAAGCTTCAGTGGGCACTCGCATTTGGAAAGCTATCGGTCTTACCACCGAGAGATTGCAAGTCCCGAGTCCTCTGTTTTTAGAGGATAATAAAGAGACAAGGAGCAACTACTTGGAAGCAGCTTGTTTCTCCAGACTGAGCAGCTCGATGAGATCAAAAATCTTTTAGGTAACTCCTCTGTTTTCAGACAATAATAAGATGACCAAGCCCCCCAGATATGTACCTTTTCCCTTCTTTCCCCAGCTCTAGGTCCAACTCCCCTGAATGGTATGACACAAAGTTCAGCTCAGGGCTCCAGGGCAGGCCAAGAAAAAGCTCCATCAGAACACCTGTCATATAAGGCACAAAGCTGCTATCTGCAAAATGGTGAAGTGCCTTTTCATGTTCAGCCTTCTTTGGAGCTGGACTTGTTTGGTTTTTTCAAAAGAAGAAAATTTAGCACCACTGAAAGGCCCTAGAAAGGTCCTGCCCTGGCTGCTGAGAAAAGGGCTCCACTGCTCACTCTTGGCATGGTAGCATCAAGAAACAGCAATGCAAGTTTGCCCAAAGGAGCTGACTCTACCCTGGTCACACAGGCCCCAGAAAGGGGTACAAGTGTTCGGGCATCTGGAAGGACCCTTGCCACTACAGACAGCCATGGAAACAAAACATAACACAGACAAAGAGCGACAGCTTATGATACAACATCATCACAGCCACAGCCTCCCTAAGAGGTGTCTATTCTTGCAACCAGTTTAGTTTGCTATTTGTTGATCTGGATTTCACTACAGGCAGAGTTTAAGAGTTCCCCCCATATGCTGGGTGTTGTCAGGGGAATCAGCGCGGACCTTCAGGTGACACGCAGGCTTCCAAGTTATCCACTCCAAGGAAGAGGACACACGGCCCCTTTTACTGCAAATTCCTCTAACGTTAGTTGTGCTGTTCAAGCACAAGTTTGGCTGTACAAGAAATTCTCTAATGCATGGAAACATTAACATGCAAGTAGGAGCTGGACAATGCTAAGCAGCCCTCAAAGCCTCTGATTTAATATGAACAGAAAGATTTCAATTAATTTAGCACATTTTCTATGCAACAGTTTAAGACTTGTAGCATTCAGGAGGCACTGACTGTCATCAGTAACACTACCAGAGTCCAGAATGTGTTACAGAATATTGACACAGAAGTTTGATCCACTTTTGAGTGCAGGACAAAAGTACCATATTCCACTACAGACTGTGTCTCCTTTAAAATCTGCCCAGACTTCGGGTCATCTGCTAACATCTTTAAACCCATGATTTTTCCTTTAGTATGCAATAGTTGTGTTGTATTACTCAACTACATTAGAAAAAGGGTCAAAGCTGTTCTTGGTGCTATGACAACAGCCACACAGATGAACTTTCTAATCTGCACTTTTAGCCTTCTGTGCAAAAAGTGAGATATTACGGTGATTATTAAATAATTGATGTTATATTTTTATCAATATTAGAAGTGCTTTTTTTCCCCAAAAAAGTAAGTATTGTGTAGGAGTTAGGTGAACAACAAAATGCCTTCTGCTGAAGACACTGTTAAGAATTCTTATTTGCTAGACTTTCAGTAATTAAAATCTGCCTAAATAAATTACTCTCTGCTGCCCTAAGTTAATTATGTAAAAAAAGATATCATTGTTGATGACTCTCTTGTTTTGATGATGATATTGAGTCAGACACCTAAAAGAACAATTAAATTCAATGCTAAGCAACTTACTTATGTTTGGCTTACCATTGTTATTAATAAGAACATTATTTTAGTGACTGCCTGCTGAGAGCTCAGCTCCTGGATAGCAGTTGTTTTATAATTAAAGTTTTCTTCCTACTGGCATGTTCTTCAACTCTCTTCATATCCTCGGTTTTTCAAAATACAGTAATAGTATTTAGTGCATCAGAAAGCCTTTGTTCAAGAAGGGTGATGCTAATTCCTTGCATGCTCAAACAACAGCATTATCTTGCATTTTTGTTAATAACTACTAGCCTTTCTACAATACTTTTCCATCACTGGTTTCAGAGTTTAAAAAACAACATTCAAAATCTTTACCTATCTTTTACAGATAAGGAAACCAAGGCACAAAAAGAAGCAACTTATCTAAAACCTCCTAGTAAGCCAGTGGCAGAATCAGGAGCAGAACTGATTTCTGCATTAATGCTTTCAAGTCCGAAAAAAAATCTAGGGACGAATAGGAATGGAAGGAAACCCAAATCAGCAGAGCTACAATATATACCAGTCACGGCTCTGCCTTAGAAACCATCCTATATTCTCATAGGTTCTGATTTCTCGAGCAGGGTGTGGACCCTGGCAAGGCAATCTCAGGAGAGTTGCAATTTTGCAGTATCGCTGGTCCTTCACTACACGTATCCTACGGGTTTCGCCCTTCAGAATTATCATTGTACAAGCTGAAAAAGGGCACAAAGCTGCTCTACACCTACAACCTGTGCAATAACAGATTCCCATTTTCACAGTTTCTATTGAAGAGCATGATTTTTAAAAAGACAGCAAACACATAAAAAACCCCATATTATTTTAAGGTATGGAGTGAAATAAGAGTTCTTTGTGTAGGAAATTATATGGGAATTGAGATCTGCCACATCAAATGTTTAAAATGTGGAAGACTGTGAGGAAGAACATGCCCGTTTGTGAATTTGTTTATAAGTGTGTGTCAGCTGCACGATGAAACTGAAACCGTCAATGCTTAGTGAGTCAGCATCCCGGCCAGCATCAGGACTGAGACAGTTCATAGTGTTTATGGAAAACATCTAGAGTCAAGGGGACAGGAATAAATACACCATGTGTTTCATGTAGCACCTGGGTGCGCGAAGACTTAGAAGCCAATAGATGGAGCAAAGTCAGATGCTGTGCTCTTTTAATGCAAACTTTTTTAAAGGCAGAAGAGGCTAGGGCAGGGGAACCAAAAAAAAAAAAATTTCTGCTCAAGAATCTAATGGGAACACTACCTTGGATTCACCTGTCCTGTTTCCAGTTCTCAGTGCGTGCTTATGTATGTATTTGCCAGCTCAGCAGTGAGTGAAAGAATTATGTTCAAAATTGGTACTATGTATTTTGAAAAAAATGAAAATGCGGGACAAAACTTTCACAAAATCCTCCATCACGGCAGTTGGACGTCATTTAATTCCTCGAGAGTGTGCACCCAGATTTGTATTTGACTTCAGTGTAGCCACATGCTCATGGTTTACAGCAGAGTCCAAATTTCACCCACCATGTCTTGTACTTGTAAAACACTCAACCATCACTTATTTAAGCCTTACATTGTTTAAAAATAATTAACGTAGAAATGTAACAGTTTCCCAAGGACATACTGCAACTCAGTAGCAGAGCTGGCTGTCAAAGTTAACAAAGTTGTTTGTGGTTGGTTTACTGCACTTCTATTACAAGCTTCCATTCTGCAGCCCACCTTCTGTGTTACTTCTTTTCATTTATTTGTCCAGGAGAAAAACAAGCTTTTCCTGAAGAGCTGGATATTCAGAGGATTTGCCTCCCAGGAAACCATGGAGCCATCATTTTGTAAAGGCTATTTGAGCATTCATTCACTAATACAGGTCCGCTGTACCAAAGCAACTGGTCGACAAATAAAGGCTCCACTCTAAAGCAAGTAAGTCTGAACAAGTCATGAAACTTCTACAAACACATGAAGGGAGAACACCTAAGTGAAAGACACCGACTTCAGCCAACTCCGGCTGAAGCCAGAGGAGCAGTGCTGCCTATTACTGCACAGGCACTGAGCCTAGCATAGACTTGTCTTTTCTAGCTCTGTCTCAGGCAATCCCAAGAGCCCTGGAGGAGACAAACGGATTCTTTATTTTTTTGGTGGGCAAGAACAAAACAGAAACCACTGGCAACAACATCCTATCTTCTGTAATATGCCTGAGGCTCACTGTACAAAGAAGCTTTCCATTTTCATCTTCCTAATACTATTTTTAGAACGTATTGGCAGTGCCAGATGTCTCTTTCAAAGGCTGGACTCTCTAGAGCTGGAGTTAGATTTACAACCATGTGCTTGCTGGCCACAGATGTTGAAGATGACAGACCTGTGGGAAAAGCCCCCCATTGTTAAGATGACACTGTTCAAAAAGCTGTTTAAAATAGTTACTCACAGCATCTTGAGTATTTCAACATAACAGCCAAGGATCCTGTCTGCCTGGGCACTCAGCTCAATGCTCATGGTGCTGCAGGTAGGACTGACCATCAAGCAGTCAATCAGGTTGGGCTCGCTGTCATTGCCAACATTGGCCGTCATCTTCTGATTAGCTGTGTTGTTGCGCTCCACTTCCACGTGGATCTCATTTGAAGTGACAATAACTGGTTTGAGACGGCATTCAGTCAAGGTGGCCTCTTGAGAGACCAGGTCAGGACTTGTGTGAAGAAGGCGGAGGGGGAGATTAGGCTTTCGATCACACTGCTGCTGGCAGCCATTCCGAATTTCTTTCAGGCTTGGCGAATTGTCTCGACTGAATTTTAAAAATGAATAAATAATTTCAATAGACAGACATAACAGCAGAGAGCAGGAGAGAGAGTGCACCACTGAGAAGCCAAGATCTTTCACAATTTCCCACTGCATTTCACCCCAGCCCACCAGACTGCTTTCTTCGGTGTAATCGGATTACTGAAATCAACTAAAAACATTAAAAGGCTCCAATAGGATGGTTCTGCAGCCCCTATTCTGCAAAGATTGAAGCTTTTCATTACTCTATTTGACATGCCAATTTAGTACAAAGGTGAACTTTCCCATCCAAGTTGTGCAAAGCTGTAACAGAATCCATGCCCAAGTATGTATCTGGCTACAGTACATGCCCAGACATTCATCTGCAGCCCTCGCGTCTGGAATTTTTGTTGGACACTAAGCAGTCCCTGTCCGTGCCCTACCACGAGGAAAGTCAGATAGGCATAAACAAACAGGAAACATAGCAGAGGGGAACCCTCTGTGTCTACTGGAAACTGGCTCGTGTGTCAAGAACAGCGGCATCTATTTTGCAGTAAGTCAGGAATCAAATTTTCCACAATAATGGAGACAGCATTGTGAAACCAGCTCAGGTTCAAAGCTGTAGATACACAAGGATCTACACACAACCTCTTCTTCAAGATCTCACGCTTCCCTTGCTTTAGGTGTAACACACACCTCACGTGCCAGAAAAGGAGCAAAACAGACACTGCTCTGGGTAGTGCTTAAGTCCTAGAGACTTTTGTGGAGCACTCTCATCTTCTGCTGGCCTAAAAAGGCTGCTTACGGCTGCAGTCTGCCTTAGAGGAATATCTCAACAGTGGCCAAGATCAGCATGCAGCTGGCTGTTGAGCTTCATCCTGGCAGTTAGTGCAGCTTGCAGTGCTCCTGTACTGGGAACTACCGAGCTCCTCGCATCACCAGCACTGCCCCCATTTTCAAGCATGGGAGCCAACGATGTGCAGTAACAGATTGCCATGTTCACTGCTTCAAAACATGCTACAGTGAGTACAAGTGAATGAAGGTTCAGCATCTTTCAGGTTTTCAAGCACAGACAGCATAACAAATATAACCATCTATGTACAAAAACATGGATGTGATTGACCAGAACTCCCACACGTAACTAGCAATGAGCAGAGTGAGAATGAAGACGTGCTCTCGCATACACACACCCATGCTCACACCGATCTTTACAGATGCCATGGGTTTGGAAACGAGTAACACGGTCACCTGTGAATTCATACTGACCTGTTGATAAATTCCTCATAACACGAATAAATGGCTGCTAAGCAGACAGCTACAAGATTTGGCAGGACCCTGGGATGGGGGCATTGTCCAGTTGGACCATGCATGCTGAAAAACAAAAACCAAAATGACATCATCATGAAGAAGATTTCTATGAGCAAAAACAGTCAGACAAAACAAGGTGCCAGAACTGGATAGACAGCATTGGGGAATCTTCAGAAGGGCCATAACAGAGACTTATTTTAACCCTGTAAATCCCCACCCAATGGCCCTATTTATGAACAAGGCTAAGCTGCATCATCAGTTTATTTGATGTGGTATCTCTACAGTCCCCCCAAAATCTCATACATGACTGAGTTAATGGGAATCTCTCTGTAGAGGCTCTGAGTCTAAATATATAAAAAGCATGTAGACACAGCAAAGTCCATTTGCTTCTACTGTGTAACTAGGCAGAAAACCCCAGCCACATTTGAGAATTACTTCTAAAAGAAAAAGAAAGAGACTTCAGCAACATTGCCTCATGGACTCTTCTAATATATTTGCTGTTTGCCAGTACAAAAAAGCACCAGCTACTCTTATCAGCCATCAAAGAGATGAGCAGGACTGGGAGAAGTAACACAGCGAAGCACGTACACAGGACTGGAAATACATGGTAAATTAAATGTAACTAACCTATGAATAAACTTCTTCACCACCTCCATTCCAGCATTCAGCTCATTCAAAGCCAGAATATACTCCTGAGTAAACAGCCGCAACCGAGGGCACTTCCCAAAATCCTGTCCAAAAAGGAGAGACTCAGTGAAGATGGTGAAACTTGCCTGCAAGGTACATCAAAACTGTGTGTTTTCAAAAGATATCAGCTCAAACACAACGAAATTCACTTTGTTATTATGCTGAGAGCTTCAAGAGCACAGTATCACTGCATGCTGAATTAACGTTCTTCCCACTAATAATGACATGCTTTCCAATTCTTTTCTTTCCCCAATACCCACCTTGAGACAAAAGTCATGTTTAACGAAACAAAAAAAAAACCCTACCTGCACTCACATTTCTTTGTACACTTCACTTTGTTTTGAAATGCATTTTTTGCTGGTTTGCATTTTTGCTTCCACTCCTAATGGCAGTTTTTCAGAAATGCAACTCGAAAATAAATTTTTTACTTCCATGTTTGACATCGTATCTATTCTAGTTTTAGAGAAAATCGTTTTGACATGCGATCAATAAGTGGTCAAGTATAAAACCAGAGATCAGTTCTTTCTCCAGGGATTTTACTCCAGCTGCAATGTGAATTTCATAGGTGAGCTCAACAGTCACTTTCTTCAAATCCTGCAGTCGGAAAGGCACCTGCTAACTGAAATCCTGCATCTCCTCACATCACCTGCTATTTTTAGATGTGAACGGAGTAAAATCTGCTGTCTGGTGAGTGTTACTCCACAGCACATTTCTTCACATTTACACAGGTGTAACCTTATTACACAGGTGTTACAGAACTACAAAGCTAAATTTCCAAGGCCCACTGAGGACAAACAAGCCCTCCCAGTTATCCCTCAAGCAGCTGGTTGTAGGAGAAGAGTCATCCTGAAAAAATAAATGGCAACTGAAATTTTAAAGAAATGCCGTAAGTGATTACGAACTGGTGGTCTGTAAAAGGGAAGACACATTCCCAAAGCACTGAAACCTTCTGTTACTTATTTTGGTTTCAGGCACTTCTATAACACAACCTATCTTAACATCTCATAGGTTTTACAGCTAGAGAAAATTACAAAAAATGTGAATACAAGCTTAGGGAGAACAATGTCTCCTTCAAGTCTAAGTGTCACTCTTTGCTAGTACTGGATGGCTACCTGGTAACTTCACCCAGCAAAGAGGCTGTGGGCAATTCCACAATTGGTATTACAATTAAAATCATTAAACTTCTAACAGCTCCTTCTGGCAGGTGCAAATACAGTTGGTTCAAGGGCATGAGACAGTGTGTGCTTCATATATCATTTGGTGCCATTTAATTTCATGAACACTCCTTGCAAGATAGCTCTTGCAGTTGCAATTTGTTTATGAAATTTTTCAAGCCCTGTAGGTGTCCTAACTGAAGTTAGGACAAAAGTCTAAGAGATCATAAACAGGATGTCATTGCTGACCGCTTTAAAATAAAATAGCTCTCTAAATGCAATATGATGCCCTGTCACCATACCAGGTACAGAACAATACACACTATCAATATGGTTTGCTTCAAAAAAAAAAAAAAAGAAACAAAAAACCTCTCTATAGTGCTTATATTCAAACATTTGGGCTGAGCCTATAAACAGCTGAAATCCAAAGGTACTGAGAGGTTACTGAGCACTCCTCAAACAATTCAGCATACAATAGTCTCCAGTCCTGCATGTAACGGGTAGTATCAGCAAGACAAAAAGCTATCCTTGTTCTTTTGAGATTTCAAAATGATAGATAAATGATTTTTTTCCCCATTTTATAGGTGACAAAGACCACAGAGCAAATTAGCAGCAAAGGTGGTAACAGACAGCTACGTCTCCTGCTCTAAGTACACTGAAAATTGCACAGGGACTCCTAAGGTTAGGAAGTTTACTGCCAACAATACTGTCCCCCTAAAGGATAACTTTATTTACATGCACACACACATTCTCTAAATGACTATTCAGTACAGAGGTCCCTGGAGAGCAGTTAAGTGCCCAAATCCACTCCAATTAATATATGACACTGTAAATTCTCTGACTACACACTGCGGTACAGACATGTTGATTTTCAATCTGCAAATGTTAAGTATGGTAAATATACCCAATTCTCTGAAGCTAACCAAATACAAGCATTACACTATGCATTTAGATTTTATTTGAGACCCCTCAAGGGCTCTGGCTGCTTTTAAAAAAATCAGTCTGGAATCCAAGAATAACATTTACAGAATATTTCATTGAACACTACAGAATATTCAAAAATGTTTACATGTCTGCAGAGTGCAGGCACAGAGCCAGGAATACGACCTTTCGCCATCTTGGGCTTTCTACCTAGTTCTGTAAACTCAAGGAGTTAAATAATAACACTGTTGTAAAAATAAGAAATATGAACTGGTTTCTACCAGGTTCATGCTATACACAGCAGGACAGTGGATGGTCTCTAAAATTATTATCAGTTAGCGAAAAGAAAGACCTCCCTTAGGAAAGGAATATGGATCATGTAAGAATATCTTCAGAGCTGGTGTGGGGGGAATCCGGTATATAGGGTGGAGAGAGCAAAGCTGGCAGGGCAGTCTTCTAGCAATTATTTCAATCACTACCAAGGAACTGATTGGCAATGAGAAGAGAGAAAACCTGGGAGACAACAATCATAAAATGACAGAGTACATGATTTCTGGAACGAGAAGGAAGAAGAATAGCAGAAAAGCATAAGGAAATTCAGGAAGCCCAGGTAAGAACTCATTGGACGTGAGTCTAAAGAAAAGGGAAATCCAGAGAGCTGCAGGTGTCTTAAAAAAAAAACGTTGAGGGCCTCGGCTCAAAATCAAAGCCCCTGTTCTGATTCTGTAATTTAACTGATTATTTAAAGCATTATAACTACAAGGATGGCATGCAGAGAAAGGAGACAAGAGCCAGGTGGGAGAGGGCTGGAGCTGCATATGCTGGCACCGCTGCCAAAAGAAATGTTCCTCAAATCATGGTTTTGCTTAGATGCTTTTGAAAGTCCCGCTGAATGCTTATTAGTTCTGCATTTATAAAGCAACACACAATTACATGCAGCATTCACAGTTTGGGGGGTTAGATTTAGATATCCCAGTGCTTTGTTCATTACAGGCAACAGAGCAGCTGTTAATTACAAAAGGTATCACAATAATACTTCTCCAAACTGATCACGTTCCTGTAACACGTGCACTCACCATGTTGTGTTTGAGGATCCTCTGTACCACCGGTGTGAACACTTCTATCACAACCATGGACCGCGGGCGCTCTCGGCAGTGCTATAATGAGCAACAAGTCATTTTGTAAGCTGCAGAAATGACGAAGATGGGTCTCCTCTGGCTTCACACTCCATGCATGGATTACCCCAAGATTAACAAGATCGAAGGGCTAAACTAATCTTTCCTGGGATTAGGGTACTCGTAACACTGCTCTCTCCTATGGATTTGCTAGCATCTAATTGAAGATTACCACAGGAGTTCATGAACTACATGACTTCCTTTGCCTACTGCCTATTCTTCACAAAACTCACTGGAACGTAGTATTTTTGGGACTTCCTCCCGTTTTGTCAAATTTGGCTGAAACTTGCCAACAGTTTTTAAAGTAAAGGGGTGGGGGACAAAAAGATGTGTAGACACAGGGAGTGTAACAGCACAAACCTCCTTTCCTTGGGATCCAGGCTAAAAACCTGTGGTGGATCTTGGAGGGTACCAACAAGCCACTCTCCCATCACAGGTTAAAACATACAATCATAATGTATCAGTCAGAGTAATTTAGGTTGGGAAGGGCCTTTGGAGGTCATCTGGTCCAACCCCCGGCTCAAGGCAGGGTCAGTTTTGAAGATACATTAGCCTTCTCATTAGCATTGTCCATTTCAGTTCTGAAGAGGAAAAGTCCATAACCTGTTTCCCTTCCTGCAACTATACACAGCCCATCCCACACATTGAGAGATAATTAGGCGTCCACCTCCAACGGAGATCAAAGGCAAAAAAAAAAAAAGGAATAAAAGTGCCTTCAGTCCGAGGCTAGGTATGACCCTAAGCCTAGCTTATAAAAAAAATGCAAGAGTCAGAAGAGTTTCTGAAATTTGACTTAATTTCTATAGGAAGAAGCTGCTGCTGAATAACTCTGGAATTATAAGCAGCATCCAGAATGTTTGACAAATGTATACTCAGTCATCAGTAAGCAAATTTAAGTAGTCTTGAAACTGAAACACAATCAGGCCTAGAGGAAAAGCAGTATTTTCAAATCCAGAAGCTCTGTAATCCGAAGTACTCAGAAGCTTACGGAAAGGATGCAAAATGCAGCACAAGCATGGATTTACCAGAAAAGAGGTTGGGTCCTTACAATCTTCCCACTGCCATTACCCAGTGACATAACAGCATTAGGGCTGAGTTATGCATCACATTACGAACTCATCTGAACACAGTGACTCCAATGATTTTTGCATTAGCTAAACAGAACATGCAGCAGGACATCTCTTGTACCCAGACTGAGGTGTGGGAGTCTGAAGATTTTAACTCCCACTGAGTATCAGGACCATGCAGTCTGATGTACTAAGGATATGGATCTATTTATCATAATGGTGCTGTTAAATATTCCAACATCATTGGTTGTTGACCAAAAACTGAAATCAATTTGGGCATGAGGTAAGGAGCTAAGGAAAAAAACAACCACCCCCTCGAGGAACTACACTGACATGCAACTACGAGATTTCAGAAAGCAAAACTGTTCTGATACCTTGCAGAAGAATTCACAGAGGTCAGGAGGAGGATGGTTGTTTTCCAGCAAAGGTGCAATTGCCTTTAAAAAGAGAAAGAGAAAGAGAGAGAAAAAATTAATTAGAGACTGCAAGTGGAGTAAGCATTTTTGCTGGGAAATATTTTTCTTGGGAAAAAGAAAAGCTCACTTTTAAAAAAGAAGGGCAAAAGCATCAATAGAGAAATTAGAGGTGGGCTGTGTGTTTATTTTACACATAAGCTCAAGCACACCTCTGCTATGAATCCTCTGGAAAATTTTGCTTTTAACTACATCAGTGTAAATACCTAAAACACAGCAAAGGAGTACAATTTTTATAATGGTTTAAATGAAAACAGGAGCAGACCAATTGTTTTAGGACGTAATACGGCAAAGATGAATCTGTTTCAGTTATAACATCTCCCTAAAAGACAAAACTAAAAACCTCCACACACACATATCCTTTATGAAAAAGTTCGAGTTATTTTTGTGAGAAATAACTCACTAAAAGTAACATAGCAATGTTCTTACCTTGGAGGACCCTATTCATCAAAATCAAGCTTCTAACTTTGTGAAAGTTGAGATCAACCATTCCTTCTTTGCTGCTACACAAACCAATGTGCTTATGTTCGGTAAATACATTAGAGGTCATACCTGCCACTGAGGGTGTAATGAACTTATGTTGTTGTTACTTCCTTTGTAAATTAGAAAACAGTACTAGAATAATGTATTCTCTCTATGTGATGGTGCCTTCGGGCTTTTCCAGTCTTGAGCTACAGGGATTCCCAGTACCCATTTAAAAATAAGACTCTAAACACAGCAGCTAGGACATTTTGTATTAAGCAACTGAACACTAGATATTTTATCTGGATGGCATCTGGAGTTTTACTAAGGCAGCCTGCTTTGTTTTTTGCTCTCCCTCTCATCTCCTTAAGGATTTCAGCCCTGGCGAGTCTTGCTTGCAATGACCATGTTTCACAATAGCCACTTTCACACACAAGCAGGTTAAGATTAATGTGAATTTTAACAATGAAACCCAAGCACATCCGCAGAGATCTGTTTTGGTTACACAGAACATTTGAGACCTTTCTGGTCATTATCATGTGCCACCCTTCTGCAACTGTTCACTCTTCCTCTGGTGGTGGTCCAGCCACAGTTGACTGATGCAGAATGCGACCCTATTCATTGAGACTAGCATATCAAATTGAGATCATTGAGACTAGTAATCAAAAAATGAGCTTTATTGTTTCAGCCCAGTCCTTACTGAATGTAGGGAATAACCACAACAGACACCGTCAAGCGGGTCATGGCTCCGCCTGTATGGTCAGCGTGGAAGAGTGACAGCATGAAAGCACTCTGTATTTTCCTTATGTGCGCTGTGGTTAAAAGCAGAAACTTGTAGTCTCGCGTTGCCCAGTCATGGCAACACGTGCTTCCCCTTCCTTACCAGGAAGAGATCAGTTGTAATATTGATCTGTTCCAGCACCATCTAGAGAAGGAAAGCAGGTTCCATCTGCATAGCAAACCACTATGTGCTTTTAAGATACTACATAAATACACAGTATTAGCAATACTTCCTAAGAACAGCACAGGTTAGCTGTGTAACGGTAGTGAGCTCTGAATGCTCAGAAACTGCCATCTCCTTAATGGTTCGGACACAACCTACAGAAGGGCAGGACTTCAACCGAAGAAGCCATCAACCAGAATTGATCAATAACATAGGCTGAAAGGACCTTTGGAGGCCACCTGGTCCAACTTCCATACTCACAGCAGGTCCACCTTACATCTTTTATTAAAAAATTCTTCCCCCAAAGCAACCAGTTGTAACTAGGGGCCTGAATTGCCCTTGGCACTAGAGCAAAATGAAAGCTATAGCAGATCTCAAAGAAAAGTAAATGCCACATCAGAAACTTATCTCAGTGACCGATTCCAGCTAAAATGGTATCTTAAGCAGCAGTTAAATACAGTTCACACCTACTGGCAGCTACATGCCACCTTGTCATTTCGCAGAAAGAGTCACGGAGATGTGATCAGGTGGTGGTAACGTTCTAGATTAGATTACTGGGAAAATCCCCTGGAAGTTGCCAGTGACTGAAATTAAATTACAGTGAGGAACCAAGTTCCACCTCTCTGATGAATTGTTGAGCTTTTATATTCTGTTGCACAAGGAAGAGAGCTGCCATTTGATTCCCATATTTTTATGTAAATAAATACAACCTACAGAAAAGAAAAAAGTTGAAGAGGACATTTTTATAAATCAAGTAATCAGGGGGTTAAACTGCAGTGACCCATACACATATCCACACTTACAAAAACAATCACTTCACACGCATACCATCAGCAATGGAGACATTCTGTATATGGTAGCATTAGCCCCTCAGGAAACTACTAAGCCTAAGGGTTTTAAGGCACATCTGGAAATGATGGGGTTTGACTATTTAAAGTACATATATAGATATGAACATTGCACTGTGTAGCCTAGTAAGGAGGCCATTTGGGGAGACGAATAACCCTCAACACGCTGTGCTGTTTCATGTAAGCTGATAAGGAAACTTTATTGTTATCCACCAACAAGAAAAGAGGAATGACAAAAACCACACAAAACCGAGTAGAACAAATGGGTTCGATCCTGCCTAAGTTCACCAGCATTGGTGGAAATGCTTTCACACTTGCCATACTCCACTGGGGCAGAGGCAAGCATTAACAGAAGTGTTATCAAACAATACAAACCCATGCTCAGATTTTGACAGAAAGATACTCACCACAATAATGCTCTCATGGTCTTGAGTGGTTAAGTTGTTGTTCTGAAAGAGTTGAATAGAAGAAATGAATGAGCAGAGAGTACTCTGAGTTGGCACATCAGCATACACAGTCCTCTTAACTACCACCAGACACAAGCAGAAAGGCTCAAGAGTGCAATTGCTTATTTTCAGAATAAAATTCATCAAAGTAAAATAATTCTCTTAAAGAAGGTGATATACTATCTGCTATGAAACGTTGTGCAAGCTTCCATTTCTCCCTCAGCACGTTCAGATTCAAGCCATCCCAGCCATGAAAGCTGAGCATACAAACACCAGGATGCCAGAGTAGGTCTCAATCAGTTGGAAAGTTAAAGCTAGTGATACATTTCTTAAAAATGTTTTCTTAAGACAGGCTGTATGTTTCTACAAAAATTAATAAAAGGATTGTTGTGGTGTTGTATACCATTTGTTGGTAGTAAACTAATTGCTGCAATTTTCCTGAAATTCCTTCCTCAAACATGGAACCAGTAAAAGCCAATAAATTTACTGGAAGTCACCTATGCAACCACCTATGCAAAAGAGTTTGCTTTTGGCTTTCTCAGCAGCATGATCCATTCAGAGGTTACAAAGTTGTGAGTTGCCAAGATCTTTGTGTACTGCAAGAAAAATAGCTAGTAACTTTTTTGTTTATCACAAATCTTTGCACTTCAGAACTAAGATATGAAAAACCTGCTTGGCATTACATTTCCCGTCCATGAAAAGTCAACGATTTGAAAGGGATGCTATAAAAGGAGGATAAATACTTCTGAAGAAGGAAAATATTTTTCTTTGACAGAACTGGTAATAATAAGACATGAATCAGACCCATAATAAATTTACCACTAATAATCAACAACAATAACAAAAAGTCTCAAGAGAAATGCGTTTTGTTTTGTTTCTAGAAATCTACCTAACATGGGGCAAATTCTCCTTCTCCCCAGCAAGTACAAATTCCACTCAAGTCAGCAGAAGTCACGAGCAGACTCGAAAGCAGAAATTTGACAGCCCAAGTTAAAATAAAACCCATCTATAAACTTTTAACTGTTTGTCTCTCATCTAAATGTGGCAGTGCCTTGCAGGAGCACTGCTGAGGTCATACCTCTGAGAGCAGTTTTGAGACAATCTCCAGTGGTGCTTGGTGAATAGAGTCATCCTGAAGTGGAGACGTGAGTGCCATGTCCACCAGTGTCCTGATCTCCTTCAACACCACCTCCCAGCGGCTGGGGTTACTGAGCACCTTCTTGTACTTGTAAATCTTTTTCTGTAAGAAAAATGAAAGGGTCACACTGACACCACCATAAACCCCTTGAAAAACTTGTCTGGGTACGTGCTTCCTACATGCAACTGTCAAGTGGGCTGCTTTGTAATTTGAGTTTTGCCTTTTCCGTTTGCTGAAAAGTTGTACTTAAAACATTTAAATGAAAATGAAAACTTTGTATGTCTAAACCAATTTCTTCTGCAGAAGCAATGAAGAACTGTGACTCCCTTTTTTTATTTTAAAATAAGTTTTTGAACTCCGGAGCATCTTTCTTTCCATCATCTCCTCTTGCAAACACCTTATTCTTCAGGCAAATAACAGATACCTGCTATTGCACTGTTTCCAAGGCTGTAGGTCCTTTTAAAGGGAGTTACTCATTAAGAAAGGGAGAGAGAGAAAGGCCATCAAAACATCATTCTACAGATACTTTATTCTACATTGTTAACTGGTGAATTCACATTCAGAATGAATTCAAATCAATTTCATCAAAGTGAAAAATTCCAGTAGACCCACAGGTTTTTTTTTCCTGTCTTGAAGGATCTTGAAAAGTTGTGCTGTCGCCCTCCAGTTGTAACAGAAACTAATTTGTAAAGTCTCAAAGTCTTCAACACAACAGCATTTCCACTCTCAAGAAAAGCATTCCCGACTGCCTAATCCCATCTGCCCCAGTCCTCTGCATACCCCTGCATTGCTTCTGGCCGTGCCCAAGCTATTTCACCAATTGCCCTTTCCACAGACCAGCTAGATAAGCAAAAGACAATTCTTACCTCCTCCGCAGCCATGTTGCCACAAATGACTGGAACAGAGGCTGCTTTGTATTATAAATAGTATTCTTTAGAGAAAACCCACCCTCCCAAATTCCCAGAGGTGGCTTGATGAAACTCTAGAAGTTCAAGGAAACGATGACGAGTGTTAAAATGCCACTGCTGAAAACAACACGAAGGGCGCACTAGAACCAGGAGAGGCTTGCCAAAGCGGGCACGGCCATGGAGCTGGCAGGGCAGGAGCTCTGATGGCTGACGGAGAGCGACTGCCAGGACCGCAGCGTTTTGTTTAGTTCACATGCCCTTCCACTCCTCTCTGTGTGTGAATCTGTTCCTCTGGTCAAAGGGATGTCAAGAAGTCTGGATACATCCTCAGGTTTATTAAACAACACAGGCTGAGCACTTCTCTGTTTACACGAAAACATCAGTGTTTTGCACTAAAAATGGATCTTACATTCCTTGGCAGCATTTCCAGGGAAATCACAAAACCTGCACATTTTGGACTATACATGGTCAGTGTAATAAAGGCAGAGGACTTTGCAAAGGGTTGGTCTGCTTTGTTTTGTTTTGGAGCTTTTCCGCTACACGGCATTTCCCCCTCCGCTCGCACAGGATAGCCCCTGCAGGAACCATCCGAACAGGCTGGCTCTCTGCTTATCAGCCGCTTCCTTCCCACCGTGGCAGCAGATCTAATGCTCAACAGAAAACACAGTCACCTCTGTACCCTATCCAAAACAGGAGCGAAGAGGATAATACAGAAAAATACAGATTTCAGACACCTTGGGTTTGTCAGCGTTGTTAGAGAGGGAAGAGTGTGGCACTGGGCTGACATGTAAAGGCTGATAAAGCAATCCAATTGTCTTTTTAATTAAATTCATGCAAGTACAAAAGCATGCTGGCAGTAGTTCACAATTTCAGTGCATTTTAAGCCACTGAAAAGCTAAAGGAACATAAAAACACACGCTGAGGACACTATCAAATGTGTTTGGGATTTCAGAACTGAGCAAAAATCTTTGTACTTCTGAGCTCCTTGAGGCAGAGAGGGTCCACTGGCTACAAGCACTACTTCTACCATCATCACACATTTCTTGGACTCTTTAGGAAATTTGAATCATTGAGTTTAATTTCTCTTGTTCATGCAGTGCCTTTTTTTAGGGTCTTTTTGTTAGACCCACTCTGGCACTAAATAAAATCCAAACTTCAAAGCCAACCAGCCAGCTTTGTAACTTCAAGCAACTCCTTTCTGACTAATTGAGGACAATAAACAGAGCTAGCTCAACAGATACATTTTCCACGCTGAAATTTCTTCCTTGGTTCTGTACTACGAAAGAAATCAAACTCAAAGCAGAATTCAATGCTAGATAAAAAGTGGGGGCGGGGAGAGCACGAGAGCTAGACCACTGGGTTATTGCATCCCTGCCTGCTCTGGGCTGCTCCTTACTTGGGGGAGTTACAACGTGATTTCGGAGAGCAGCTCCCTTGGTCTAAGCGACAGCTGCTGTAGGAAACCCTCTTGCCCAACAGGACGCTGCTCAGACAACCCTACCACAAATATCTTTCTTCCGCTGTCAAATCCACCCTTGCTGGGGGGGGAGGAAGGAGCAAGGGAGGCTTCCTTTCCCTTTTAGAGATGTCCATTAAAAAATAAAATTCTGATGATGCTGACGTACATAAGAGAAAAGACAGTGGGAGTTGTACTCCCTGCTATGCAACGGAGACCTACAAAAGCTGCTGCTCAGACCAGGCAGACAGCGACTCAAAGGGAGCATCAGGGGACAGCTGCCTTTGCCAGCACGCTGAGCCCGCCGCAAGCAGAAAATCCGAAGTTATCAGTCTTTGCTTCACGTTTTCAGCACAAAGGATTGTGCCGCACTGATATACTGAGCTGTAATCCGCAAGCGACATTACAGAAGTCTCGAATGATGGTGGGAAAGCGGCAGAAAATAAATAAATAAATAAAGGAGCCATCCCCAAGAGGGATGAACTCTGCCATCCTGAACCTTTGCCCATGGTTACGCTGCTGTTTTTCTCAGCAGAATGCTTTTCGCTGTTGAGCGCCTTGATGAAAGCCTCAATTAAAGCTTGAAACCTATCAGTGGGTTACAGAAGCAATTTGCTGTGTATCAGCAAGCACTTAGCCAACACCAAGCCATCTGCTCTATTCTACCTGCGCTGACTCCAGAGCAAGGAGAAACAATCACTCACAAGCTTAAAATCAAAGCTGCCTGGTAAAGACCCATATCGGAGAACAGGCATGTCAACACATGCGAGGAGTTCATTCCCCCTGGATGTAGGTGTAAAAGATGCCTTCAGTTGCTGAAAATACTCACACAACATTCACCATTAATAGCATGTACCAGAAAAATACTGGGGTGGGAATCTAGTTTCACTAGGATTTCACTAAAAGCAGCAGCTCCTGCGACAATTTATGTGAGTGAAAATAACACATGCCAACTTGGAATTTGACCCTCCTAGTTACTGACCAGCCAGAACCACATGGCTAGTATCATTCCAAAATCTTGCTATGCTGACTTTAAAAGCAAAACCACTGAATTTAATAAGTACCCAGAAGAAGCAGCATGGGGAATAAGTGACACTGACAAGGCATCCTTCATTCTCAAATCACTCTAATTAATTCAGTCCTGCAGAAACCCAAAGACCTAAGTCTCAATCCTCTTTTAGAGGAGGAGGAATTAAGTCCACATATAAAAAAATTACTTTTTCACTGTTATTAATCATGCAAATGTGACAAAAATTTGTAAGCAGTGCTTTTTGCCATCAGTGCTCAAAAGCTCCTGAACACCACTGCGAACAGAAAGTTCAGGTGAGCCTAGGAAACTTTCAACTTTTAAGTAACATCTTCGTATGTTTTTCTATCCCATAATGGCCTCATCCTGTAGCTGTTGCTCATACACCACTTCCTTGGACAAGAATGATAATACTGATGTAGCTGACATCTAAGAAAAATAGAGCCTAATGCACACAATTGGACAGCATAGAACAACCACTCTTTTCAGCCCTAGCAAGAGCTGTCATTTTAGGAACATCTTAAAGCAGCTGGTGCACCTGACCCAAAAAGTGCAAGATGAAGTTAGCCTTCTTGATGACCAAATTTCACCCCTGCTTTGCTACTGGTGGCCAGGAAACATTCTGTACTCTTGGGAACCTGTCTTCCCGTCAGCAAATACTATCTTCATTACATTAAAAAAATTAATTGCCAACCCTAATCCAGAATAGCCTGTTAAATTCTAGCTTGCTGCTCTTCAGCCCTTTACCACACCAACAGCACGCAACTAATAGCTTCTTTATCAGAGGAGCTAGAGCTCCTGCAGGAACATACGCCGACTTTGAGGGTTACATTTGCCAGCAATTGTTTACTTCTTGCTGAGCAACGAGGGCAGTTCCAGCAAAAGGGAAAAGGTCAACCTCCCGCACAGAGGTCCTTCCCAGCTCATTGCGGGGATGGTTGAGCCAAGCTAGTGTTACAGTTTAATGTTGACAGTGCTTATGTAAAATGGAGGTGTCTCTTGCTAGATGCAAATGTACAGAGGAAAAAAAAAAAAAACATGAAACACAGACAGCAGACACCGGAACGGTTTTCTCCACTGCAGCAGAACATTTTGTTAAAATGCTAAATAACAAGAAACAGGAAGAGTTGCTTGTGGTGTTCAACACACATGGTTGGCTTTGTCCTACAAAGCCCAGGAGCGGTACCACGTATTCTTGAGCACCACCTGCTGGCATTCTGTCTATTAACTCCTCACCTTCATGAAAACAAAGGCGGCATGGCCTCCCCAGAACTCAGCTAGATCCACATTCTGCTTTTAACACTAGCAGGCATCACTTCAGACTGCTCGTGCTGCAGTAATCAAACTCTTCATGACCCTCCAAAGGTTTTGCACAGAACGACTAATGTGCTGCTGCTCTAAATTAGCTGCAAAAACAGTAGGAGCAAACTTCTGCACTCTACCATGTTTTGAGGTCAAGGCATTTCTGCATTTTTCATTTTACCCAATGCTAAATGCTGAAGTGCATCAACTTCTCTGCTTCGGTTGCTTCTCGGAATGCAATCGCTTTGGTCGAGGCTCACTTGCCCACAAAATCCTTGCCACAGGCCAGAGAACTGGAGGGAAACATAAGCTATACACTTCCTGATTCTCACTCAGTTAAGGTCTAAATAACACCTCATTTTTTGCCAATTCATATAAAAAAGATCCTGATGAAATCACCATTATTTAT